TCTATCTATCTATCTATCTATCTATCTATCTATCTATCTATCTATCTTTTTTTTCCTCTTCTTTCGGCTGCTCCTTTCTTCAGTGGTCACCACAGCAAGCTGAGTCGCACGAAACCTTGGCAACTATTTTTACGCCGGATGCCCTTCCTGACACAACCACAGACACCGAGCTACCACAACCCTATGTGTGGAGCAGAGAGCTGCTATCTAGGGCGCCTGGGGGAGTAAATGCAGGGGGGTTAAGGGCTTTGCTCAAGGGCCCAGAGTGGAGTAAATGAGGGTGGAGACAGGTGTGGGTGCTTCACCAATCCCACCCACATTTTGATGTTGTCGGTACCAAGAGTTGAACCAGCAATCTTCCAATCACAGGTTCACCTTCTCTAACCTCCGCACCGCATATATACTATATACTATATGTATTAGTGGTGTAACGGTACACGTGGGTGTATTGAACCGTTTCTGTACAGCATGTTCAGTTAGGTCCATGTGTGTACCATTCGGTTATTTTTTTCACTCATTACATTTTATGAACGAGAGATTATGCGCAGCGGAAAGAAAGTTCCTACGCGTGATTCAGCACGGCACTATTATCTTGCAGCATGCGTAGCATTTGTAGCAAAGCAGGTAACAAACAAGCCATCTTGTTGTGGTCTCCTGTTTGGGTAAGTCATGGCTTTCTTGTTAAAAGACAAGTGGACAAATCCAAAACTGTGTCAACGTTGTTTCACAGAGATTGGATCTGCCACAGGCAACACGTCTGACTTGTTAACGGACTTGAAACAACATCATCCAAATGTGAACGTAGTTTGGTTCAAAGACCGATAACGGCAGCCTTTAAAAAACCTTTATCAGGAAATTCAGATCGATCCAAAGCAACAAAACAAACTGTAGGAGTTTTTAAAGCTCTGGATCTACGTCCGAATGTTGTTGATGCGCTGGTTTTAAGCATAAAGGTTTTGAGCCCTGCTGCCTACAACATCCATCACGTCAACACTTCAGCCAAAAAGTTGTAGTAGCACTTTATGAAAAAGCTAAAACTGATCGTCAGCAAGTCCAACCCCAGATTTAAAGCCCTGCCACATCGATGATGAGCAAGAGAAAATATTCAACCACCTCATATGATGACCGAGCAATAGGAGGTATTGTATTATTGTGATCTAATTAAATTTTTTAATTTAAAATTATAATCTTATTAACTCTTTTTTCTTTTTTTTTTTATTCTCCACAATCCTCCTCAGGGTCCGGTCACCTCTTCTCGTGCAGCGTTTTCTGCCACACTTTTCCCTTCCCACAGACTTCCCACTGAGGTGCCTTGATACAGCACTCTGGGAACAGCCTATTCGTTCAGCAATTTCTTTCTGTGTCTTACCCTCTTGCTTGAGAGTGTCAATGATGGCCTTCTGGACAGCAGTCAGGTCGGCAGTCTTACCCATGATTGCGGTTTTGAGTAATGAACAAGGCTGGGAGTTTTTAAAAGCCTCAGGAATCTTTTGCAGGTGTTTAGAGTTACATCGTTGATTCAGATGGTTAGGTTAATAGCTTGTTTAGAGAACCTTTTCATGATATGC